GGCCGGCAGTGCGGACTCAGAGACTGGCGCCGTCGTCGCCGCAGCAAGCCCGGGCGAGCCGCCACTCTCAGCTGCTGCCGCTGCGGTGCTGTGCAGGCGCATGCGCCGCTGCGCCGCCAAGTGCGGCGGTGCTGCTGCGCTCGATACAGCTCCGTGTCGCCAGCCGCATGCGCTCAGGCCTAGCCGCGCTCCAGCAGGCAGCCCTCGAAGCATATGCATGTCAGTTGTACAGCCAGCCAAACGCAGCTGCCAGAGATTGTTTTTCAAAGATCTCGTGGGGTGCGTTTCAATGAACAATTTTCAAATATGTCACTCCGCAAGAACATCTCCTTTCGAGCGCAGTGCAGGAGCGGCTCTTGTGCTGGTCACCATCGGCGTCACCCGCTCGAACTGGCGCCCACATGCCGACATGCGTGCGTGCGCATTGGCCAGCCTGGCAGTCTACGGGAGAGTGCATTTGTCCTGAAATTCCTATTACAACAGCCAGGGTGGTGTGAGGTTTGGCTTGCCAAAACACAGATTTTGTGAGCAGCAGACTTGCTGACGCAGACTGGTCAAGATCAGGCCAGCAGCTATCATAAAGTCAAGGCTTCGGCTCGGATCTCGCAAGCTACATCGGCGGTGCCTCACTCACGCCTCTCCACCATCGTACGCCCTTGAAATCAATACCAGAGGTTTTCTCATCTCCTCGGACCCCATCAATGAATGGAAAGGATGATTTGCCATTTCTTACATGCACAGTGACCGGAAACGCCAGCATGTGCAGCAAGGTTTGCGCGACCAGCCGCCAATCCAAGTGTGTGAAGCGTCAAAGGTAGCGCCCTGTGCCTCTGCTTGACAGGGCGGCTTGAAAGGGCGGGCGAGACCGGGCTGCCAGCAGCAGGGCCAACGGGCAGCGGGGGAGCAGGCAGGAAGTACGGTCGTGCCGGCGCTGTGCTGGTGCCCGGCTTTGGAACAACGGGTACATCAGGAGTGCAAAATTAGTGCAGGTCAACCATGCACCAGTGACGTGTAATGAGCAGCAGCGGACCGGAAGCAAGGCGGGCGGCGACACCATATGAGTCGGTCGTCGCACGGTCCGCCGCGCACATGAGCGCCATGATAAAATTGTATGGGGTGTGCACGTCCTTGTACGTGCGTGGTTAGTGAAACGTGTACAAGTTCGTGTGTGTGTGTGTCTGTGTGTTGCACAGTATCCCGGCGCTGTCAGTCATGAAGCGTTGAAAAGAGTCCCGCATCCGTTTTATAAGGGCCGCAGCAGCCCCGCTCCCCAGCGCCGCACACAGGGCGCAGCCTCGAGTCGCCCTCGCCGATTGAGCAGCAGAGGGGGGCTCTGCAGGTCATACTATTGGAGTGCTCGCATGTCCAGCGCAGATTCAAAGTACCGAGCTTTATTGGCTGTCGCAAGGGGGGCCGCGGCGCTGTGACGCGATTGTTGGTGTGACAAGCGCGGCGGCCGCCCACGGGGGGCCGACTGGCGCGTCAGTGCAACAAGGTGGGTGGAAGAGGGCGGGCAGACCGCAGCAGGAGCGGGGGCATGGGCAAGGAAGGAGATGGTGGCGGGTCCACAAGTCAACGAGTACAGTAGGGCGGGGCGGGGCTCGGCGTGTGAGGCGCGGGGTCGCACCGTATGCACACGTGGGGCCGTGGCCACAGCAGTGGCGGCCGCAACAGTGGTGGTCAACTGGCGCCGGGCCATTCAAGGCCGGCAGCACGTGAGCGGGCGGACACAAACGCTCCTGTCGTAAACAGGGTATGAGCACAAGGGCAAGTGCATGCATGACAAAACCAAGATCATGAGCCGCCATGTCTGTAGTAATCGGCATTCGAGCCAAAGGCGGCCGCGCACCACGGGCCCGCCCTTGAGCGCAAGCGCGTGCGCACGGCCTGGTCGAGGCGATGGCCCCGTCAATCACCCAATGTCCGTACGGACTGCAGTTCATGAAACATGTCAGGGCCGGGGCCCGCCCTCTCCCCAAGCCGACTCTGGCGCAGTCTCGTCCGACACCTCCACTCCCGCAGCCTCTTCCTCGCCCTCGTAATCACCCACATCCGCGTCGCTCCCCTCCTCCCCAAACTCGTCATCCTCATCCTCGTCACCATCCTCGTACCCACACGCCGCCTCCCCCAGGCCCCCCAAAGGCCACTGCTGCCCGACTCCCCCTTTCCCAGGCGCCGCCACGCGCGCCCCGGCCTCCCGGAGGCGCCTCATGCCCTCGTAGAGCGCCCCCAGAGAGGGGAAGCTGGGGTGGCAGGCCGCCACATAGCCCGCCAGCTGGTCGGAGCGCAGCACGCTCGCCACGCAGAAGGCGTGGACCACCGTAGACAGCAGCGAGCGCGCCTGCAGCGCCGCCACGCGCGCCGCCAGCA